TTTATGTAAAAATGTATAAAGAAATGTTAAATGTTTAATGTTTTTTAAAATTATGTATAAAGAAACCAAATAAATGAATGGAAAAGAAATGTAATATATCCAAAATAAAACAAACATTAAAAATCTCGTTAAGACCAATTCCATCATCTGCCAAAAATGTATTCTATATCGTCAACACAATTACTGGGTAATCGATCGTTAACTGGTTGGTAAATGTACGAGAGCATCGGAGCATGAATCATGATATCATAACTTAGTTAATATAATGCGATTGGTTACATTTTGTATAACTTTATTAAAATCATTTAGGATTCGAAATCAAAATGTCAAATTTCAATATACAAAATGAATTGATTCATCGGTCGCCGTTCCGTGAATGATCAGGCAATGGTTAAAAGCTTTGCATTCACTACGAGCGTAGTTGGGTTCCGATCCTGAGTCCTACTTGAGCAAAAGAAATTCGGTATCTTTTTTCTTCGGAATTCAAATGCTTCAGTTGGTATTTGTGTGAGGCCATGCGATTTTTTAACAAATAAAAAATAATTAATTAAAATAAATCAATGTATGTACTGTGTGTAGTTTACGCAACATTGTACACATTCCTTAATAAACCACTTTTAACGAAGCCCAACGTTTCGGATGCTTTGCAGCCGCCGTGGTCATGGAGAGACTAAATATCTTTATCTTTATGGTGTCCATAATGTCAAAGTATAAACTGCTAGAAGTAGTTATAATAATGCGTTAATAAGTTAACCTAATTTATTTCGCGTTTCAAACCGTTCGAACTGTTTTATTTAAATCCAACAGTTTTAAACTCGCTAAGATATTTAAAACGTCACTTCCGAGGACCACACCTACAGACGGGCTTTCAGAACAATGAAACAGTTTAGAATGTATCAATTAATATTAAAAATAATAAAACATTTAAATAAAATACTTTAACGGTTTAAAACGCGAAATGTATTAGTGAAACCTTTTTACAAATTATTTTAACTACGGCCCAATGTTTTAGATGAGTTTAGATTTACACTAGCCGTGGTCACAGACTTCGCTTGAAATTTAAATGTGTACTACTCGCGTAAACTACAGACAGTATTTAATTATAAAATAAATAAATTCTTATAACAAATATCGTAAGCGTTCTAATAAAATGGTTTTGTTCAATGCCACTCGTGTAAACTACTGATATAATCGGGATCACAGTTTGATACGAAAAGCCCTAACAGACCCCGAATAGAATCATATAGACAACATGCTTCTTGAACGATTTCCCTCGTCACAATTTTCACCCCATTACAGAAAATGTACAATCCCCTCTCGCTGAATGTTATTTCACGTTACTTTACGCCATTTCACATTATTTTGGTACAAGGTACGTACTGGTAAATCAGTGTTCTGTGTTTGAAATTTTTGGTTATTTCATTTTTAAATACGATTTGATGTTGATCGTTGCTCTAATGTTAGCAATGTATAGCTAATGATCGGGTCGTGGATTCTATTACCATCAAGATATATGGATATTAAACTGGGTTACGAATCACCGATGAAAACGACGTGAAGCTTACTCGCGTTTCGGTAGCAGTCTGTGGATTTCAGAATATCTAAAGGCAAAATAGGACAACAGCGCCATCTTGTTTAGATGGTATAGGCTAGGGTTATATAACCTACCATCAGGTAGCCAAGCAACCATTTAGGTATTAGCCTTATATATTTTTCATTGTTGTTAATAATGTTATTATTTAATTGGAGAATCACTTTGACTTCGAAAACCTAGGGGGACAATAAAGAAATTAAAATTTAACAGTGTATATAATACATACAGTTTTAAATCTAATCTGCTGTTGCGATCGAAATGTCGGGTTGTATTTAAAAAATAATTAATTAAATCACGGTGTAATCCGTTAATTTGTTTTATTAATAACGCGGTAAGTTGTATACACAACGTGGAAATCAATTTACAGAGTACACTACTATGATATGCATGGTAATATTATTTGTAAATAGTACTTAAAACGACGAAAATAACGAAACAAGTTGTTACATACAACCGGCAACATTTTCAGCAATAGAATGAACAACAAGTTCATGTTAAGAGGAAATCAATCATCCCTAGAATTTAATACGACATCTGCCTTTGTTTCATTTCATTTCAAATCGACATAAACATTTGGATATTTGGAAGAGTATTTTGTGACTAAGAGTAATGCTCGAAGAAGTTTAAAAAAAACCGGCTAGGTGCGAGTGTACCTCGAATTTGAGTCTTCTGTACAAATACTGTCTGTAGTTTACGCGAGTAGGACACATTTAAAGAAAACACTTTTTACGAAGCCCGACGTTTCGGACGCTTTGCAGCAGCCGTGGTCATAAGGAGACTAAAGATCTTTATAATGTTCAAAATTTCAAAGTATAAACTGCTAGAAGTAATTACAATATTATTAATTATTTAAAAATAAGATTAACTAATACATTTCACGTTTAAAGCCGTTCGAAATGTTTAATTTAAATCAAGCTATTTCACGGTTTAAAACGCGATATATTAGTTCAACAACGGCAAAACGGAAATTAAAATTATTTTCAAATTAGTAACTAATATTGGTGCGTTTAAAACTGTTAGAGTGTTTAATTCCAATGTGCTATACAATCCATTTAATAATATATATATATCATTAAGTAAGTTTATAGACAGCGCCAATAGATTTACCGGAAAAAATCATCTATCCTATCTGTTCAGTGCGGTGGTTTATCGCATACACTTTACGATGTATATACGTTTTTAGGGTTCCGTAGATTACATACGGTACAAAAGTACTTTCACTGACATAGTTTTTAACAACGCTTTTCAAATCACATTGAGACAGTAGAACAGTGATGAATAATAGACTACAAGGAAATCGAAACAAAGGCTACGACTAAGGGGAAACGTTTCATTTATACCATGGACTTGGAAAATATGAGCTTATAAGAAGCAAATCTATATTTAAGCTTGTCAAGCTATAAACTACTAAATAATAAATAAAGTATAAGATTATTGTAATAAGAATCTGAATTCAATAAGAAATTAGGTAACAATTAATTTTAGAATTGAATATAGAGATTTTAATTTTTCATAGATTTAGATAGAATAGAGAGATTTTAATTTTTCATAGAAACTACACTTACACATTTATAAAATACAAAGTTTTGCATATTTAAATAAAACACTTTAACGGCTTAAAACGCGATATATTAGTTATACTTATTTGAAAATTATTTTTAACTTCGGCCCGACGTATCGGTTTCGTAATCCTTCTATATTGCAATTTAGAGTATGGTTTATACTCTTTTACGAGACTGTTTAATATAAATAAAGTTTAAAAAAGTAATTGTTAATTTCATATATCTATTCGACGCCCAAATAGCTGAAGAAATCATGATAAAATTTCGTGGCATCACAATGCCTAGTCACCATTTTACTTATAAAATAAAGTTTTTGCGTAATAAGAAAGATGTGAAGCGATAATTTCAATTATATTAACGTAATATGAAGTAAAATCTCGTTTTGCCCCATTGGGACATGGGGCGAACACATTTGTGTGTCAGTTTCACAGATCACTTTTATGTACAGGAAACTAGTTGATCAGACTTCTGTGCCCTGCCTGACCGAAACAATATATTCTTTCCCCGGGATTCGAAACCAGAACTTCTCGCACTTAACGCCATGCTAAGCAACACGTTTAACAATTTAGCTACAGAGGCGGTCATGAACGTAATAAAAACATTTTTAAATACTTATTTAGAAACGCATAAATTAATTGAATTATGGTAAATAGTTTGCTATTATCCGTGTCTTATCTTAGAAAAAATTATAAACATAAAAATGAGACCTCTTAAGGAATCCGAGACAGAGTTTATCGCAAGCACGATTTAACTTTTACCGCCGAAGCTCTTAACAATGCTGAAGGTTTAATAAATGTTTTATTTTCCGTTTACCGTGACACGAATTAATGAAAATATATTGCTTGTGAAATAGGTCAGGATTTTAACTTTTTTATGTTCATCATGTGCGGATTACAAGAAAGCCAAATTTGACTTATGTACATTGTTATACTTTATGAAGCATTTGTATTGTTTAATAGATTATTTTACAAACTCATTATTAGATATGTATGATTACAGATTATAACTTAACTGAATCCTTCTCTTACACTTTGATCCTAAGAATATTAAATAGTTTAATTTATACTTAGTAAGTTATCCCGAAATCCTCACTTGGCGGAGTCCCCAGTTAGGTCTGAATTAGGTCATATTAAGATTGAGTTTTAAACGCTTAAGATTATTAATAAAACTAGCTGCGCCAGCGACTTCATCCGTAGTATAGTTATTTAAGGCATCAAAATTGTTTTAGCAAACCTCCTCTTCATCTTTAATTTTTATAGCTATTACGCACGTCGTTCTTACGAGTTACTCTTAAATGATTAGACATTCTATCGCGGATATTTAAAGAAGAATCGTTCTTTGATATATATTTTTTGGGTATCTTGAACCGCTTTCGCAGCGTACGCATCTTGAACCCAAAAATTGAATAATTTCCCCCGTTTTTTTCACATCTCCCACTATTTCTTTGCTCCTATCGGTTGCAGCGTGATGGTTTAAAGTCATTCTCGATAAATGGTCTATCTGACACATAAATTCGAACCAATAGTTTCTGAGATTAGCGCGTTCAAACAAAAAACAAACTCTTCAGCTCTATAATATTAGTAAAGATAATCAACTTTTAATAAAATTTTAACAAAGCTGCCATCGTGCAGTTCTGTCGGAATATTGACTTTCATGACCGTTAGAATTTTTTGCACAGTCAAAGGCGAACTTCGTAAGATTCTATTTTTATCAGTACTTTTTCTAGCATTCAAATAATGGTTACACTGTTGCACATCGCAGAGTGTTACGTGCGTAAAACATAAATAAAACCATTGACGGCCGCGGTACTGTCATAAATCACTTCTACTTTATGAATGTTCTGGCTAATGGTGGCTTGGGTGAATATTCTTATTTGCTCTTCGTTCTTCCGTTATTGAAAAGTCTTGTTTCGTAATTTTCCTAATAAAATATTTATAATACTTATGACAAACACCTTGAATTTCTTTTGTGAATTTTAGAGTTGAGAATAAAAAGAATTGTCCGTCACTGCCTTAATTAACAAAAGATCTTATGAAAGACATTATCTATTAGAGCAGTGAACTAACTGTTGTTTCTTTAATAGTACAATCTAAATGAAGGTGTTTTAACGGGTGAAAAGGCAAACGATACCATCCGATTACCATAAGCCAATGTCATGAGAGACGTAATTTACTAAAGTTGGTTGGCGTTTTAACCATAAAATTATTGAAGCAACAACAAGACTCGCAACAAGATAGTGGTCCTTTGAGCCGGAATCAATCGCTGGTATAATATAATTATAATTGTAAGTACAGTTTAATGAGCAAAAATCGTACCTGCGATATGACTGTGGAGCAACAGGCCAACTCCGCCTCGAACGCAATACAAGAGCGACGCGTGGCATGGAACCCTGAGTATTCCCCATTTGGGGAGCGGATGTGCGCTTGCGACTCCAACCACGACGATTGTTGTTCGCACCCCATAAGTGTGAAGAGCCAAGTGCTGGAAAGAAAATGGTAACGACTTACTATCTTTGACCACATTTTTTCTTATCGTGTAAATTTCTTTTATATATTACAAAACAGCAACCGGCTCCATGTTTAAACTCTTTAGCTAGCCAAGGTTAAGCAAGAGAGTTCATGGGTTCGACCTCAATGAAAATCCAAAAACTATGTTAGGTAAATATTTCGCTAGGAAGTCTATCAAGAATGTTTACGCCCCAACTACTACGTTTACTAAAGCTAAAATCTATTTGTAATCAAGCAACGGTGATTGACTAGTTAATATTGTATAGCTGGGGAATATTGCTTTGAAGTATAACTTCTCTGTAAAGAAAGGGTTTGGGTTTTGATTCGAAGGGACAATTACTCGTGGCGAGTCTGTTTTCTATAGCTTGACCGATTTATATGAGAGAGAGAAATATTTAATATAACCTACCTTTGATACTCATGAATTACCAATGTCATTTCATTTTGGCATAATTAGTATTTACGACTATGTACGATGTAGTAAGATGAAGAAAATCGATTTTTTTATCTTTGAAGATTGCATTACTAGGATAATTTAGAAAAAAAATCATATAAAAGCCAAAGATAAGAGAAAAAATTTATGTACAGGCAAATTATCTTTCCATGCTAAACCACTCGACAGTTTTTAATAAAATTTAACAATCTTTTATTTTATGCGTGAAGTCGTCAAGTATAGTTCGTAGTTTACTTAAGAGGTAAACATTACATTAAACCCTTAACGGTTCTAATCGGTAAACGGTGTAACTTAAAAATAAAAAATAAACTGAAAAAAAATTTCGAGTCGGGCAGGATTTGAACCGCCATCGTCAGATTTCCGTGGTGTTGCTCTACCAATTGAGCTACCGAGTACTACACCTAATCGTCGATTTTTTTCAACTTATTGATACATGCACCTCTCGCGAAAAAATATCAGTTAATTTTCGATTTTTGAATTATATAGTGTCTTCATGTGCAATAACATGTGAAAAATAATAAAGTTTTCAAACGTTATAACTTTGTAATTTCATCTTCAATGATTTCTTAAAATTGCAAAGCATAAGACGTTGAACCTTAATTCGCAAGTTTCACTTTAAAAGGTAATGAGTGTGTTTTTTTATCGATTATTATTTATCAACAAAGCTACATGCATAAATGCAACCGAATAAAAAAAGAACATTTTATATTATTATTATGTGTGTAATAATAACATACGCAATTCAGAATAATGACGCACGAAGAAGCGACACAATTATGGACCTTCACATTATAATCAGTATGTTTTTCTCGATATATCAGCTGCTTTTCAACGCCTTTTTACATGCAAATTACCCTCACCTAAAAGATGTTGACATAAAGCAGAGAACCTAATCACGTAATTCTATTTCACAAAAGACTCGTGAATTTTCTATATTTAGCGTGAGTCTACACAAACATGCATTCAACGCTTAATTCAATGGGAATAAGTTAATCGCCTTAATGTAATATTTTAAAAAATATTAACAGTGAAACAAAAGATTCCTCTCACCACCTCGAAACAATGAATTATTGTTTTTCTTAATATTAATTGTTTACCGATTTTGTACGGGAAAAACGTTACTATGTTACTCGATTATAAAAAACATTTCGTAGGAGAACTAGGAGTACTGGATTTGATAAGTACCTAACTATGAAAAATTGTATTCTAGTGACATAGACACCTATATATTAAATAAAACATATACTTTACTAGTAAAAACCGCTATACTTATGGTTTATGGTTTTAAATCATATAATTAATATAATACATGAACTAATGAATATTCCTATAAACATATGAGTTTACTATTAATTAAATCATTGCTCATTGCACAACTGGCTTAGATAGTTAAATGCATAACATGATTTTATAATTAACGAAAAATAAAGAAAAGCAACTGCCGATTTAGGTCTTGTTATGCAATCTGATAGGTACATAACTCAGTGTAATGATTCGCGTATCAGAAACATACTTTAGCCCAGTCGAACTAATAAAACGCATCAAGATAAAGCAGATGATCGATGGATGTACTCACGTAAATGATAGTTTTGATGCGGCCCTTGTTCCGAACAGGCTCGGCGTCCACGAGCGCTTAAGAGTACTTCCCGCCGTGGTCTTTCGTATACCTCACTTGACTCGGGCACATCGCGGCCACCGCCTTCTTCCCGACCTTCCTCCACCACGCATGCTGACATCTCTGTGTTAGTCTTTAACTTGTAAGCGTCTTCAGTACTTCACTTCAGAAAAATTCTGTTCTGTGTGCCTGAGTTTCATTAATTTTTGACTTGTTTATACGATAGTGTACTGAAAATGTCTTCCCGTATAATGGCTAATCAAAGTTCCCCACTCGAAGCCGCAATTTGTGAATTGCACCGCGTTTCACTTTTTATGGAGCATAAACGTCGCTCAATTCCCGCTGGTCACACGAACTTATTTAAAATCGAGTTTCTTGAACCTGAAACAAAATGTAGGTTACATTACTATTTGTTAAGCTAATTGGCGAGCGTTTCTAAAGGTTTTTGTTCGGCTACGTGAAACGGAAACGCGAAATTTGATAGCTTTTTTCAGTAGAAATGTTAAATGGGTTTTTAAATTCGAGAAATAAAAATATCGCCCTAAATTTCATATCTAGGTATAAAGTAACTACCGCTGTTAGGTAAATTTGGGCTAATAAACCAGCGTTCACAAATGTAAAAGCCCTTGAATGTAATCGCGTTTCGGATTCAGTTCGTAAACTTTCAAATGTAAAGCCAAAATAGGAAGACAGACTCAGTTCTCACAGACTCTTTATCTTTGTCTCTTAATCTCAATTTTGAACACACCTTTGTTAAACACTCTCTTAAATTTGATTGCTTGCACGACATAAATTGGATAATTTAAATAAACCTAACACTTTATTGTACTCTTTGCCATAAAAAAACTGGCAATAACAAAAATATATGTATTTTTTAAGCTATAAGGAATATAAACAATGAATAAAAAGAAATCTTAAGATGTTATAGTGCATTACACATCGCAGGTATGTCTGTACCTTTCAACCATAAAAACTTCCTTATATTAAAAAAATAAACCTTATCAATGTTCAATACGACTTTACAAAGCTTACAGGACCGACTTTCTGCTATCCAATGCTGAAAATCCAGGTCTCATAATAGCCTACAATATTAAACGCATAATAGCTTTGAATTGCATCTATAAAAACTAGTTTGTAGTAACTAGAGTATAGCTACGAAGCGTCTCGTAGACTCGTATACATTCAACGCTATATTGCAAACAACTACATTTGTGTATGTAGTTTATATGGACTTTCTAAGGTAGAAGACATTTTGATTGATTAGCTTGATATCGGATCAAACAAATAGTGAAAATCTAACAAGAGGCATTATATATGTAAATAAAATAAAGAGAAAAGAAGATTATTTTTAAGTCGTTCTTTCATATTTAATAATTCTCCATCTCTTTCTCGACTCAATGGTTAAAGTCCTTTCCTGAATGTGCATAAGTGCAGGAGATAGTAAGCTTGAATCACGGGAAATACATTAGTTTCGGTTGTGAATGATACAGAATTTTTCTTCTGCTTGTGAATATTGTTATAAAAATTTAACTTAATTAAAATATATAAGCAATTTAAGCGTTAAATGACAGCAGTAAATATAAGATGGCGAGGTATCGTTTAAAAGCGTCAATCCATCTTATAAATTACATAAGTACTTAACTTTCATAACAAGTTTCTGTTAAACTAAAGTCCCGAATACAATAGTACTATTTATATATATAAAGAAATGTAAACATACAAAATACAAAATACAATGCTACTTGTGTTTTCGTTTTCGTAATTGAGAAACGGTTCTCGACGTTTCGACATTATTGTTGATGACGTCATCAGGAGAGGTTACGCGTTCTTCGACTCGGCAAACATCTCCTGATCAAGTCGTGCATTTCAATATTTCTTACAATACATTTAAATTAAGTTAGACATAATTGTTCAAGTTATGTTTTTTTTTATATGTAAAAGATATCCAAATATAGGTAAATCCGAACAACATTAGTATTGCTCGTATATGAAACATAAAATCAAAGAGTTTGATTTTGAATATTTTATGTCAATAAAAATTACTTCCTTATTCTCAATATGCTTGAATTCAGGAGAACAGACAGGGAAAATTTAATGAAATGTGAAATACCGCAGCCATTTACTATTTTTTTATTACTGTCGACCGGCTTTTGTTATTCAGAAATCAATACTTAAACCAAAACGCGATGAAACTTTACAGCTTTATCATATAAGGACGGAGGTTCATAACTTGGAAGAAATTGCGTTATATCCTATTTAATATCTAGATTTCCAGACGAAGAAAGATTTTTCAGAAAAAACATAAATCGGTTAGGACCATGTTGGTCCTGATGGGGATCGAACTCGCGACCCGTTGATTTTTAACCATACAATGCTACCATAAGATATCCATTCCATCCATTCCATTTATTAAGTTTACCGTTCCCAAGTTGTTCCATTTTAATCTAATTATAACTGTACGGGACTGTATAGCGTACACTAAACTATATTATCCGGTTGTCTTGATGGTTTGGAAATAAAACTACCAGTACGTTGCCGCTAACGAATATGTCGCTATGCCACGACATCCGATTGCCACGCTACTGCTACGCGCCTTTATCGTGCGCACAAAGTATGGAAACGAAAAGTCTAAACGGCCGCGTAACTATCTTTCAATACAATGCGAAGTACTTGCGACGCGAACCGTGAGAGGAGCGGCGTCTATGGGCAAAGTACTCGCGATGCGCGCCGTGTCGATGTTAGAAGCGAACTAGTTTGACCCGCTCCCAGAGCTCTCTTTTATGGTAACATCATTTCAGTCACAAGAGAGAAATGGGATGCAGGTATTGAGTGCGGAATGGGCCGTAGCGGGGCGTCGGGTTCGTGGAAAGCAAACACTTTATTATTTTAAAGAACTTACTTAAACTAATGGCATGGCAATCTCTCACATTTGTTAACGCTTAAAACAATACGTCTGTAACCAATAAACTATCCCTTTACAAAGTGGATACAATACAAGTGGCCTTTCTAGTATTACAATTTATGACCCAAAGTTTTGTTAACGTTTTTATACACACAAAGGACGCCATGCACATGTTCTTATACATCTAACATATTTTACCTAAAGTCAAAGAATATTTATTTATTTATTTATATGCTAGTTCTCAATAATATTACTATGCTTTAAACCTAAGAGCGAGGCCCCATTAGTGCGTTGCGCCGCGTTGCGTCGTCGCAGCGTCGTCGCTGCGTCGTTTTCCATACATTTTATATAACATGCCCCATTAGACCGTTGCGTCGTCGCGCGCGTAGTTTCAACGGATCGACGGACAAGAGACGAAGCGGGAGGGGGGTGATGCGCTGCGTTGTCGGAGCTCCGCTGCGACGACGGACAGTGATGCACTGCTAGAGGAGGAAGCTAGACGAGCGTAACGACATTTTTTATCTTACCATGAGTGAGCAGAATATTGATATAGATTTTCTCATATCCTTGGTCCAAGAAAGACCCATTATATGGGATAAATCACACGAACATTACAGTGATAAATTTCGTAAAGCGAATGAATGGGTAGCTGTTTGTAAAAAAGTATTTCAAGATTACGACGAGTTTGAGGACCAAAAAAAGAACAAGATTGGTGAGTTGGTATTTGTTATATTATTTGTAAATTCAATACATAAGTTAATTTATATCTTTTTCAACTGCCATGGTAAAGCCCCTTCTGGACTCATAAAGTAATTAGCAAATTGATCTCTGATAAAATTTTCGGCTAATGATTCTTCACTGCTATGGGGTCTCAATTGTGGGAACCTACTTATTGCCATATTGTCTTGTTGTTTTAACCCATCGTGTTGTATAACAAAATTGTGTAAAACACAACATGCTTTCGCAATATTAATAGTTAAATCATATGACGTATCAATTGGCCTATGTAAAATGCGCCATTTATTTGCCATGATCCCAAATGCACATTCCACGTATCTACGAGCTCTGCTAAGGCGATAATTATAAACTCTTTGTTTCACATTGAGATTGGATCCGCCGTATGGGCGCATAACATGCTTACTTAAACCAAAAGCTTCATCACCGACGAGTACATAAGGGATTGGTGGCTCGTTATTATGATCATTTCCAAGTGGTTGTGGATCAGGCAATGGTAATTCATTTCTCATTAAAAGCTTGTACAGTGTCGAATTTCTAAAAATAGTAGAATCACTTTCCTTACCATATGCACCCACGTCGAAAAAAACAAACTTATAATTTGAGTCAACAACCGCCAGCAAAACAATTGAAAAATAATTTTTATAATTATAAAACAAAGAGCCACTTTTGTCTGGTTTTATTAAACGTATATGTTTCCCATCAATTGCCCCAAAGCAATGAGGAAAGTTAGCTTTGAGATCAAAATCTAATGCAATATTTTGTAGTTTTTCTACTGTGATCTCTTCTAAGTACTGTGGTCGAACATATTTCCATATAGCTTGACAAACTGACGAAATAGTTCTGGAAATTGTTGCTCTTCCACGTTTAAATTTGAAATGCAAATCGTTTATCGAATTTCCGCTGCCTAAGTACCTGAAATAGAAACACAAAAAATAAACAGGGTGGCCCATTTAGATTGGTCAGTGTAGACAAGTTAGGTACTTACACATTTTTTTCTTTCTTTGCAGGTAACGAGGTTGTGAAAAAATGGAGAAGCGTGAAGGACAACTTTTTTCGATACGTAAAAAAAATAAAAGAAAACAGTTCGTCTGGATCAGGGGCAAAACAATTGAAAAAATATCATTATTATCATCAGTTGCTGTTTTTGATGAAAGTTGCCCAAAATAAAACTGACAGTAGCCTTGAAATGGTGTCTGAAGAAACGGAACGAAATGAAAACACATTATCATCTTCTCCATTTCCTACAAAAGAAATGTCCTCGTTACCCCCAGGTCCTTCTCGCTACGTGCCTGCAAGCCGTAAGAGATCAAACCAAGCAATAGATGATTTCGAGGCGCAAGCTTTAGAAGCGTTGCAAGAGAAAGAAAACCGCCACTTATCATTTTTCAAAGGAATTTTGCCTTCTTTGGACAGCTTTACGGAATTACAAACTTTGACGTTCCAAAGCAAAGTTATAAATATCATTACCGAAATTCGGTTCG